TAGTAACTCAATTCTGCAGTAACCCCCTCTCCTAAATGGCTCCTAGCTAGGTCCGGATAAAATACACGCGGTTCGCCAACTCGCTCGACTCGTGGCCCGCTCAGCTCGGCTCGACTCAGCTCGTTTTAACTTTTTCATGAGTTGAGCTGAAAGTCTAGCTCGCTATTTTAACGAGCCAGCTCAAGACAGCTCGCGAGTTGCTCACGAGCTGAAACGAGCTGAGGCTTATCAGCCCACGACCATGAATCCAGAAGATGATGTTGATACCTAGAAGTGTGCATCTATTCTATTGCTATGTAATTCTTATTTTCAACTGTTTCATATGAATTTTAATTTTATAATTGTTGTGGTACTTCAATGTTGATTTTATGGATTGTTTTTCAGGGAGAAAATGATGATGCTGACATTAAATATGTGGACTTTCTTAAGTTTGTGGTGGCAAGCAACTAGTTAGTATGCTAGAACTGCATGATCATGGATGGACCAACTATGTTGCATGATTGATACTTTTGATGAACCTGATATGTATTAATCATGTATGATTGCATAATGGTGGACGTCACCTTCGAAAATTAATGTAGCATAAACATTATAAACATGTGTGTCCTATTTTTTTTATAGTAGCTCGCGAGCTAAACGAGCCAGCTCGAGCTCGATAACGAGCCGAGCCGAGTTACCCCTCTAGCTTGTAATATTAACGAGTCGAGCCAAGCTGGCTCGTTAGCCTAACGAGCCAGCTCGAGCTGATCTGAGCTGATCCGAGCTGGCTCGATATCCCTGTAGAAGCCTTTGAAGAGCGAATGCTTCTATCTACGTGAACGTTACTTGGGGTCCTGGGCTCTTCTAGGTATAGCTTGTGGGCTTCAGTGTATATGCGCAGGCCGGCAAGCGGCAACGGGTCCATTTACTGAGGCCTTGTTTAAATCAAGCGTAAAGTTTTAGGTGTCACATCGGGTGTCATATGGAAGTATCGCATAGGGTGTTCGGATACTAATAAAAAGATAAATTACAGAATCCGTCGGTAATCCACAAGACGAATTTATTAAGCCTAATTAATCCGTCATTAGCACATGTGTACTATAGCACCATGTTGTCAAATTATGGACTAATTAGGCTTAAAAGATTCGTCTCGCAAATTAGTTACAAATTGTATAATAAGTTATTTCTTATATATATTTAATACTTTATACATGTGTCAAACATTTAATGGGATAGGGAGTAAACTTTAGAGAAAGAAACTAAACGAGGTGCAAACCACACGGTTAACACCAGTACACCACGGTGGATGGACGGAGATGTGAATTCAAGAGGCGCGTCGCTTCGCCTTCGCGCCGTGCTAACCCCCCCCCCCCTCGGGACCTCGCACCGCCTTAACCACGCCGCGAGCCACCACCAATCCTCCACTGTTATTTCTGAGAACCAAGAAACCCTGCCTCCCTTCTCTTCTCTCCGCTCGGCGGTCCCCTGGTTTCTTTCGAGTGGAGAGAGAGAGGCCGAGTAGGGTTCAAGCGGATCTTTGGCCGTTGGAAGCATTGCTGTCGGGGAGGAGTGCCTTCGAAATCTTAAGTTACGATGGTACATTTCAAATCCTTTTCGCTCACGGTTCCTTCCCCTGTCTTTATTACCGGGTGGATTTGGCTGCCCATGTCGTCCCCGGGGCCGGAGAGACGAAGGATATGGGGACATTTGAGGCCTTGATCTGGATGGTCCCAGCTGTGCAACCGCGGATGGGTCCGTCACTGCTGTCGGGAGGAGCATTGTTGTCTTTCGTATTCCTTTAGGGCTCTTTTGGAAGCAATGGGGAGCAAAACCCAGAGATGGAAAACCCCTTACTAAGAACTGAATGATAATTAGAATGATATCCCCATGGATTACCCACCTAGAGAAAAGTCCAGGATCTCGGAGGGATTGGAGTTTCCCAATTAGGCCTTAGTTTTTGTACTCTAGGCTCTGGCATTCAATCGGGGATGGAGATTTGTGTTGTGGCCACTTTAGAGTTCAACCCCTCTCCACTGTCCGGTTTATGTACCCCCGGTTTATTATGTGCATATAGGATCCAAATCGAAACCATTAGTATAAATAATGCTAGATACCCTTCCTCAATGGCTGCTGGATTGAATGCTGCGTGGACATTTCGTGTCAGTGAATGAAGTTCCACTGTTTGTGCATGGCTGCTTAGTCGTTGATTACCCACTGAACCTTGATTTCTTTAGATTTTTTTGAGGCGTAACCTTGATTTTTTTAGATTACAGTGCATGTGTCACGCATAGACTCACGGAGTATGTGCATAAGCTTCCCATCTCAGCACTTCGGCGTGGAATCTATCAGAATTCAGAACCATGGTTAGTGGCGTCAAGTACATGCCTCCGCATGTCATCAGTCTACAGATGGACCATTGGCCGGGTTAATAGAGCATCAGGCGCCACCTTTATTGCACAAACAGATCAACTTTCTTTTGTTCCTAACTTTGTAGTGAGGCGTGCAAATGAAGTATGGTTTAATTTATCCATATTAGTCGTGTTCAAAATAAATCCTGACACAAAAAAGCTACAATTTAGTTGACAAAATGTGAAAGCTTGCTAACTTGAGTGGTTCGTTGTGGAAAATAACGGCCAAACAGTACTTAATAGTTACTAATGATCGCAGCCCCGACGATTTAGGCTGGGTATCAACATGTGTTTGTAGAAGGCTGGTATTGTTATTTTTGATTCATATTATCGAGAAGGTAATGTATGGGGAAAGGACTGGGATTTGTGTAGGTTAGAGTGATGAGTCAGAGTGATGCGTCAGTTAAATATGTGTGAAAGCCATTTATTTATGCCTGCCCTAGAGGAAAGGCAAATAAGAGGCGTTTGTGTGTGTTCAATAGTTTATTTGTGCCATGCTATAAAAGTAGCCTATGGTGCCTGCAGTCTTGTTTGGTTCTTTGTGGTTTTGAATCAGACTGGGGCATTGAGTAGTAAAATAGACCTTTTTTCCATTTTCCATATAGTTTGGATTTAAGCAAGTTGTTTGAAAACTAAAGTCAGCGCACTTACTTTAAATGAAGGTGTTTTTTTACTCCTTATGCTCCACCTTGCAAAGAAATGTTTTGCTATATATGGCCTCATGATCTTTTTTGAGCTTTGTACAGTAGAGTGCTTCCTACTGTATGTGATATCATGACCGCAGAGTAAATAAAATAGCACATGTACAAGTTACTTCCTTTGATTATCGATATAAGTCAATATATGTTTGTCCCATTTTAAAAAAAAATTGACTATAAATATCTAAAATTTTAGGTTTTCGAAAAAATATCTAAAATTTTATATAGTTTGACATCGCAAAATTGACACCACTAGATTCATTGTGAAAATACTCTCATAATATATAACTCTTTTCATTTAAGATAATATATTTTGTACATATTGCTAGCCAGAGTATTTTTGACATAGGGCATATCTGGACGGACTTATGTTTGTGATTGGAGGAAGTGTTTAACTATGTTAACAAATTGGGTATTGGATAAATGATATATAATACTTGCTTTCAATGATATTTGCTGGTAATACTCTGGCTAGCAATATGTTTAGTCAACCTGCAAATGCTGTACTTCACATGAAAATTGCATCTAACATAATGTCTACCTGAGATGGTGAATTAATAATTCTGTCAACTGCAAGTATGTTTCGGTGCCATCTTAAACTATTACTGCCGTAGTTTCGTATTTTATTTCCAAATTAGTCATTAGTCATTACTATATTTTGGTATGGTTTTCACAAACTAGGTTATATGCAATATTTCGGACAATGGTTCATTGTGATGTTTACCTAACTCCAAAAATTCTGGTCCAGTTAATTTTGAAGGTTTCCCGCCATAACATATTTATTGCTAAACTATTTCTTATTTAGGTTTGATATACTGGAGATCAGCTAGAGTTTGTTGGCTGACTACCGGTCTTTACCTCTGGCCCGGTTTCTAAATTTACTGTGTTGACCTTGCTTAAAATTAAGATAATACAAATCTGACTAGAGTCTAGCACACTCAATATATCTGATGATGGCTCACTGTTATGCTCATGCTAGCATCAAACTAATTGTTACTATACTAAGGAGGGGGCTATGGCTTGCCCAGACATAAAAAGGTTCAATGTAGGGTATCTATCTAGAGTGTTTCTTAATTTATGTAGCATACAAAAAACCGATCCAAATGTTATGGGTTGCAGCTGATGTTTAATCATCAATGACCCAGTATATCATAACTAGTGAACTTGGATACTGTATCAGAAAAATATGAGAATGCTACCAGACTATTTTATGGTAATTATCGTTTGTTACTTCTATAGTTGATAATTTATAACAAACCCCTTGGCATTTCTGCAGAATGCTATATGTGAAATGTGTGTAGCTATTGGTTTTGAACATCTCCTTTTATGTTGTAGTGACTGCAAGGGAGCTCATAAACACCAGTATGTGACTTTTCACCCTAAGGATACCTAATTGTTAATGTTGCAACAATATGAACAAATAATTACCTGGTACATCTGTTTTTTGAAGTATGCTATTGCCACTTGATCTAGAAAAGGCCTTATCTGTACCTTTAAACATATTTTGTTGAATCCATTATTTATGTTTGGCTTGTTAATGGACATAATCAATAATAGATTTGTTCTCTTTTGAAAGTTATTTTTATCATAGATCACATCTAATACGCTACTTATGGCACTACATGTTTTGCTTTCTTTCTGGATCAAAAAGCTTAAGTAGAGAGATTTATTCTCTTTTGAAATTTTTTATCATAGATCACATTAAATGCGCTACTTCTGCAGTTTAGTTATGTTAGTACTACATATTTAGCTTTCTTTTCTGGTTCTCAAAAATAGGCCATCCTTTTCATGAATTCATCATTGGTGCAGGTACTGTTTGGACAAAGTTCTCTTTGATGCATCTTTAGAAGACTGGTTTTGCAATTAATGCAATCAAAGGCATAATGAAGGTTCTCACAGCAGGTCCTGCAAATCAATGCAAACTCCACAATCACTAACAATGGATCAAGCGTGCTCGACTTCATCCTTAGAGATCTCTTCAAAAACTAAATTCGCTCTTGAGGCTAGTGCTACAGAAGTTGAAATTTCTGATACTGTTCAAAACTTGAGAAAGGACAACCCAAAAAAGCGTAGACGTCTCATCCTAACTGGTGACGATGAAGATGAAGAAGAGAAGGCTGAAGATGTCCAGCAGGAAAATGTCAATCATCAACCTCTTAAGTGTAATGAACCAATGGTGAAGGATTGGGTAAACACTGAATATTATGTGGAAGAGGCTGTACAAACTGGAGACTTTAATGACAAAAATCTCATAAATGGTAGGCCAATGAAGCGGAGGGGAAGATACATAGTTGAAAATGAAGAGGAAGACAATATTGAAGGTGCTGAGTCTAGTGGGTGCCCATATGGGGTAACAAGTACATTTCGAGACGCTTTTACTCCCAAATTTTCAGCAATGTGCAAGCCCATCCAATCTTCAAGGCGGTCTGGAAATGCAAATGCACCCCGTGCATCAAGTTCTTTGCTTGGCTAATTCTAGTGGACCGTTTGAACACCAAGTCAATGTTGAGGAGAAGGCACCTGAACATTCAAGACAGTATCTTCTGCGTCATGTGTGATGATGGGGAAGGGGAGACCATTTAACATTTATTTTTTGACTGTCCTTTTACACAGGAATGCTGGGCTACTCTCAACTTCGCTTGGGATGGATCATTGCAGCTCTTGGATAGATTGGTGCAGGGAAGTTTGGCTCACAACCTACCCTTCTTCACAGAAACTACGTTGATTGCGGCATGGGAATTGTGGAAGATGCAGAATGACAAGGTCTTTCAGAGGCGACAACCAAGTCCGAGTGCCTGGCTAGCTAATTTTTAAAATCAATGTTTACTGCAGTTTGTTTGTTTTAAGGATGACTTGAGGTCATCTTTCTGTGTTTGGTTAGATGCTTTTAGTTAATCCCTTGTATGTAAGCACGTTCTTTCCCTAAAATTAATATTAAAATCTCACTGTGGGGATCTCCCCCACAGTATTTTGCCATAAAAAAAAGGTGCCGAGTCTACTGTGAACAATGCTTCAAAGTGGTCTTTAAATGACAGTGCAAAGATGGCGTCACAAACTCCAGTTGCAACAGACCATTCTCTCCAATCCAGACCATCTGATTCAGAATATGCCGATTGACAATATCATATTTGTTTGCAACCCCTTGATGAGCCTGTTTGGAGGTATGTTAGATGATCTTTTTCTTCGCTGAATCAAAGTAATATTCTTGTATAACATGTGATGCATCGTATGATATTTTTCTTCTCTGAATCAAAGTAATATTTGTTTGTTCTTTGAAAAAAGTGATATTCTTCTTTTTTTGTCTGAAAATGTGATGCATTCTTTTTTAATTTGAACAGTGGAGTCTTTAAGATAGACAACGAAGTGTTTCTTAAGTTGGATGCGCACTTGTCAAACAAAGCGTGCCAGAGAGTTCATGAATTGTCAGGATTGTTGCAGCCAGTAGTTGAACTAACGACGCTCTCAGCTCTCTCGGTCGCAAGCCTGGCGAGATAGATGGATATCTTCAGGACCTGCTGATGACAGTATCGAATTATTTTTCCTCCCACATAGTTCGACGTGTGTTTGCCTCCCTAATGATTTCCTCTTCCCATACCCAATGTGATTCTGGTTTACTAATATTCTCATTTCGTTCCAGGCAAAATAAGGAATTAACCAGACTTAACAGAATTATCAAGAGTGATGATGTGTTACAGGTTACTGTTGGTATTGCGGAGTTACTGATATTCCCCTCTGTCCTATTGGCAGAACAATATCATCGTAAGTGTCGCAGTTGGAGAATTCCAACCACCCCCTCTCCCATTTGCTAGATGATGCAAACACCTGTTTATTTTCCTATTTAACCCTTTTGATATGATCCAGCGTTGCTTTTGATATATCCTTGTCATATTGGAATATTTTGCTGACCTTTTCCTATTACTGAACAAATTCGTTTGAACTTTAGTTTTCCAAGGGAAACACTACCTGTGGGGAGTGTTTAGGCAAAGAAAAGATATTCTTGACAATGGTGTTCATGATGAAGAGCAAGATGGTTCAGTGCATGCGACAGGGGAAAGGCAACATCAAGAACATGATCTTTTGGACCAACATGATGAAGCATTGTATGACTTATTAGACAAATAAACTTTTGCTGTGAAGCATGTTGTGGATGCTGAGGATCAACTGCAGGTGGAGGGTGACCCTGAGGTACAAAATGAACTCCTACCGTTGCTGGGTGAAAAGGAGTGGGCTTGGAATGTTGCCATGACTCTGAAATAATGTTAATGAAAATGATTTTTTTGTAGGGCACTAAAAGGTGGACCACTATACTTATGAGGTGCAGTTTTAAAAATATTATCATGGCAGCTGGAGTTCTGTCAGATGACGCAAAAGACAAGGTCCGTTCTCTTGGTTTCGGTGACTTACTGGATCTCACCGTAGAGAGCCTTCAAAGCAGAGAAAGAATCATATGGCTGGCAGAAAGATGCGACGTTAGCTCTGAGGGCGAAAGATTAGTCATGAAAATTAACCCTGGCAAATCACTGGAGATCACACCAGAGTTGGTGCATGATAAACTTGGTATCCCTCGCGATTGCGGGGACAATAACAGTTGCCTGTTGGGTAGCAAGCTAACTGCTAAAGAAAAAATGAATGAATACAAGAAACTATGTAATGAGATGAAAGAAGCTGATTTTGTGGTGGATTTTGCGATCCAGCCAAAGACCAAAGATGGTAAGAAGCCCAGAAAAGAGAAAGAAACAAGGATCAAACTGGATATTTTCATCCAGTACATGAAGGGAATCAGGGATGTCGATAAGCAAGTCAAATGTTTCTTGTGTATTTTGATGAACCGGCTTCTGCTGCCCACTACTTCTGATTACATTACAGGTGAGAACATAGCTTTTTGTTCTGACCTGGAAAGGATGGAAAAGCAGGATTGGTGCAAGATCGTCTGTCAACGTCTGAAGGATGGTATCTCAGAATGGATGTGAAAGAAAGGAAAAGAAAATGCATCAGATGCAGTCCCTACGGGTTGCACAGCTGTGCTGCTTGTAAGAATCTTTAAAACCATTTCTTTTAGGAAAAAGTCCAAATTACTCCCCTCAAGTTTGGCATATGTCCAAATTACCTCCTAAACTTACATTTGGTTCAATTTACTCCTTCCAACTATTTCAGTTGGTCTAGTTTACCCCTTAACATGATTTGTTATTTTTGTTTTTCCACGTATTAGTTGAGTCTTAATATCCACTTTTGTGATATGATAGAGCACATCATAAGTTATGTTGGAAAAATATATCTTAATTTTCTGCCACTATTTTGATAGCTTAAGAAATTTAATAATAAATTAACACTAGAGATACAATATCGTATAAAACATAATTATGAAAAATTCATAGCGCATTTTTCTAACACAAAACACAATGTCCTCTATACACCTCACAAAATTTGAAACTAAAATATAATTTGTACATAGAGAAACAAAAAAGAAAAATCTCTTTAAGGTGTTAGTTGGACCAACTTAAATAGTTCGAGGGAATAAATTGGATCAAATGTTAGTTTGGGAGGTTATTTGGACATAGACCAAACTTGGAGGGAGTAATATGGATTTTTTCCATTTCTTTTATGTACAATAAAATAAAAATTTATGTTTAACACTAAAATTGTGGTTGACAGATATCGTACCTAGACAGTCTTCTCCCGGAGCTTGAACAGGAGAAACCACGCATCAAGCACTACAGTAAAGAGAAACTTCTGAAGATGCTAGCACAAGCAAATGAAAAAGATAAAATGGAGAAGTGCAAGAAGGATAAAAAAGAGAATGAAAAAGATAAAATGGAGAAGCACAAGAAGGATAAAAAAGAGAAGTGCAAGCAGAAGATGTATGATAATCCAAAACACAAGGTACAGAAGCAAGCATGCATGTTCTTCTTTCTTCCTGTAAATCCTGTCTTTACACGTGCGGCCTTTCCTTTCAGGAATCGGAGCAGGACATAGTGGCACAAATGCCATCACTGAAATATTTGCTCAAGCCATTTTTGGAGAATGTGCCGGATATTCTCCGAGATGAGATAAACACTGCAGTGGACAATCATCAAACTAAGATAAACACTGCAGTGGAGAATCATCAAACTAAGATGTTTGAAGAGATGAATAGCCTCCAGTCAGAGGCAGTTGCAGAAATAAAGAAGATTGTGGGAAACTGTAATATGATGTCTGCCATGTAAGGGAGAAGATATGCAAGAAGGCAGAAAACCGTTTGCACGGAGCAGGCTGGGGGCTCGCACGTCGGGTGAACTGCGTAGGCAACGCACGCCGGGCGAGTAGTAACTATTTTAGAAAGTTTGATTAGGGACTTTGTTTAGGGACTCTTTATATCTACTCTCTGTAAACACCGAAGGAGTTATTATGGGTTAATAGATTAATCTTTCCTCCCTATTTCTCCTCCCTGTTATTAGGTTGAAGGCGCATAAATGTGGCTTTCTCTGACTTCTCCATTTATAGAGAAGCTCAATCTCTATATCAAACAAGAGGCCTGAAATTATCATGGCCTTTCTAGCAGCACGTATCCATAATTTTGCATCAGCCAGAGATAGAAAAGAAATAGATGCTATGTTGAAGCAAAATTCACACTTTTATAACATCTATAAGAATGTTGAAGGGCAAAATTTGCCACACATATATATTGTCCAGAGTTCAAAGATGGAGTTTAGGTATCCCAACCGTGAACAGTCTTTGCCAAACTTTTTTTCCTCAGTTTTCCCATAGCTCACAGGTTAAGCCTAGTGATAGAGTGCGCTCTTGATAATTGCGTCGTTGTGCCTACCTAATGAGGGGCACCCCTTTGAACACTTAGGAGAAACACGTTGGGTTGCACTGCTTTGGATCCCTGACAACACCCACATTTGATTCAACCCTCCAATTAAGTATCATTGCGAGTAGTGCTACTTTGGCTGCACCAATTGCATCTGTGCGGCTGTACCAGTTGAGCAGGCAGTTACAAAAGCTGAAGGCCATCCATGTGCGATCGTTCAGTTCCAATGCTGAAAGCACCAAAACTGTAGGGAAAAAGTTTTTTTTTTCTCGAACACGCACGAGAGCTAGGTATCATTATATTAATAGAAGAAGACAAAGTCATACATAGACCCAAACACCCTCTCCCCCACCCCACACACACTACTTCAAGAAAACTGAATCACTGGTTTAAAACAAAAGGACGACTCGACATCTACAGCAATCCTTCAAACTACTCCTCCAGCAGTGAGCAGGGAGATCCCCTTGGCTCCTGCCATGCTCCACCAATGGGTCTCTCCCCTAGCCAAAGCCAGTACCGTATTTACATTTGGGGTTGCACCATTGAAAACAAAATCATTTCTATGCCGCCAAATGCTACACGCTCCCAAAATGACTAGAGAATTCAGACTCTTCCTCAAATCTCCACTAGCAGCGTTATCCACCTTTCTCCACCATTCATCGAAGGACTAATCAGAAGGTTATGGAGCAAGTGATGCAATAGGAGGGAGAACCAAAAATCTCTTGAGAATACACAGCCCACAAGAAGATGCTGAATATTTTTCTCATGTTGATCACAGAGAAGGCACTGTTCTGGATGAGGGAGATCCCTCCTTGCCAATCTGTCTGCTGTCCAACATCTGTTGTGAGCAACTAGCCACATAAAAAATCTGCATTTGGGGGGTGCCCAAGATTTCTAGATTCTTTCATAAGGTTCAAAGGAGACTGCTCCCTAAAAAAAGGTATCATAAGCGCTCTTTGTTGTATATTGTCCCGAAGAAGATAACCTCCAGACATGCTTATCAGGAATACTTTCATTCAACTCCACAGAATTCATGATGTCCCAGAGGTCTAGGTATTGAAACAAGGCTGTCGTGCATATTTCACCCTATATGTCCTCTATTCATTTCTCCTCCGTGAGGGCCTCCAGCACAGTACGTTTACTAGATCTTCTTTTAGGGACCAGTGCAAAGATCAGGGGTGCTATGTCCTTCCAGAAAAGCATATTAGATCGGCTTCCCACCTCTGTTATCACTGCCACAGAGATAAGGCCAGCAACTTCTTTACTAACTTGGATAGGCACAGGCAGATTTGCCTAAGGTTTGTTGGGCGCACTCCGCTTAAGCCACGGCCATCTTGCTTTCAAGGCAAAGGGAAAAAGCCTTAGGCAGTTACAAAAAGTTGATCAAATCCACGCAGTTATTTCTTGATTGAAAGCTCTTAGTACTAGAAAGCATGACTGACGGAGATGCAAAAGAGTTGTCTTAGTGTATGATTCCAATCTAGAGTAGCTAATTTGACTTTGTATGCAAAGTGAACAGGAATACGTACATCTCAAGGAACAAGAAAACACACTAGCTATCACGCAAGCGACCAATGCATGCATGCAAGAGCATCTTTTTTTCATTCCGAGGTGTCGATCGATCAGGGCTGGATGAACGGAGATAAGATATTCAGATCACATGAACACGTACAATGCAGCAGCAAGTTGATGACAAAAAGCGAAAGCTGGCTGGGGCTGGGGCCGATAGATGCCCCTGGAAAGGCCGTCGTCAGGACGATTGGTCAAAAGATTGGAAGGCTGATGACGATCGTCATCATCTGTAAAGAAAGAAAGGCATAAAAACGTACGCACCATGCATGCATATTCCATTTCCATCGCTCATTTGTCAAATCCGGATGGTGGGCGTTGTGCCGTTGTTTAGAACTCTTCCCCAAAGAGGACAAAGGGAATCCATCCAAGAGCAATTAAAGTTTCTTGTCACAAAATTAGTGGGAAGCGTGTAGCTTTAATCTCTCCACCAAGATTAGAATGTTGTGCTCTCAGAGCATCTATGTGGAAAAACACGAATACACCTTGTTGACAGCAAAAATAAACGAGGAAGGAGGAAGGAGGAAGAAGAAGGCTTCCTTGAGAAAGATCCTAGCAGACGATTCATCCGTGTAGGCAGTTCCATTGTCGCCACTTATCTTTTCAGGATGGCACCAACACGGAATCAGCACTGTCCACCTACCTGTAACTGTAACGGTAAATGGTCAATTTTAGTACTCCCTCCAGGTTGGTAAAAGAAGTCATTTCAGACAGCGACACGGTCTCTAAAGCATAACTTTGATTTTTATTTTTATAAAAATATTTATTAAAAAGTGATATATGCATATTTTTATGAAAGTATTTTCAAGACAAATCTATTCATATGGTTTTCAAATTTCCAAACTCAGCAACTTAAAAGTTATTCATGATTTATATTCCCAATATTCGACACAAACCTTGTTCAAAACGACTTCATTTACCAACCTAAAGGAGCAAATAAAAACTTAATTTAACAGTAATGAGATGCATCTAAACACTTACTATTTTTTTTACCAACAATCACCACTGTATTTATGGTATTTAATGGACCCTAAAATATTGGTATTGGTACAATAAGACTCTCTTTGATAGGAATTTTTTTGAGCTTCTCCACCAGCTTAATCAAGAGTCTTACCATACATGCACACGAGGATGTGTTGTGAACCGAAAACCGAGAAAACCTAGAGGTCGAAGGCCCATAAATGTGGTTTTCTCTTACTTCTCCATTTATAGAGAGAAGCTCAAGCTATACGAAACAAAGCCTAAATTATTATGGTAGTGCTAGCGCCCGGACATCCGGACGGACACCCGCGTCCGAACTCCCGCGCCTGCACCCTATTCCCGCACCTGCACTGTACGTACCGTCCGACCCCACGCGGCGTCTATGCCATGCCCGACCTCACGCGACGTCTACGCCCCGCCTGACCCCTTGTGCCCCTCCAGCAGCTATTGCAGGCGGCTCATCACATTGCTATATGTGTAACATTCAATCTACTTTTGAAACATCCATATATAACACTTACAACATACATCTGAAGACAGATGAAACACTTGAAACATGCGTCTGAAACACTTACAAAACACCTAAAGACACTTGAAAACCACTACAAACATACACAACATCCAGATAAAACACTTTGCAATATATGTGTGAAACATATGCAACATCCAGATAAACACACTTGCAATATATATCTGAAAAACAGATGAAACATTGGGAACAGACGATTGCAACATACGTGCACAACTATTGCAACATCTCGATCTACTTTTGCAACATCCGTATAAAACACTTACAACATATACTTCTAAAACATCTAAAACACTTGAAACATACGCTTGCAACACATGCGACACATCCCAGTGCGGCCTCCTCCGCCGTCTACAGCGGGGTGCCGCAGCCGTAACAGGAGGCGAGGCCGGAGGGCTTACACGCTAGAGCCCGGAACTTCTCCTTGTGTCGGCGGCGCCTATCGGCGTCGTTGAGCGCGAGCACGCGCGCGGCGGCCTCGGTGGCCAGCCGAAGGCCAAGGAAGCGGTCCCCACGTGTGGGCGTAGCAGTACCCGCACCGTTAGGTGGGGCGGGCGGCGGAGCAGGAGCAACAACAAGGGAGGTCCGGTGGGGCATGAGGGCTTGAGCGGTGGAGGTGGTGGCGGTAGGTTTTTGGGGAAGGAGAGGAACGGAACGCCATGGACGATGAGCAGGGGAGGTCTCTCGTCTCATTTCCTTATCTGGTCGGCACAACGGAAGGGATGGATACGGGCATAGTAATAAAAAACGGGACGCGCTATTTGGCTGGTCCCTAAGCCCGGGAAGAGGCGTCCGGACGCCCTGCACATAGCATTACCGAAATTATTATAGTCTTTCTAGCAGCATGTATTCATAATTTTGCATCATCTAGAAATAGAAAAAAAAATAGATGCTATATTGAAGGCAAAATCCACACTTTCATAAAATTTATTTAAGAATGTCGAAGGGCAAAATTTGCCTAACATTTTGTCCTGAGTTCTAGATGGATTTTAGGTATCCCAACCGTGAACAATCTTTGTCAAACTTTTTTTCTCAGTTTTGCCATAGCTCACAGGTTAAGCCTAGTGATAGAGGGCGCTCTTGATAATTGTGTTGTTGTGCCTACACATTGGGTTGCACTGCTTTGGATCCCTCACAAGCACAACACCGGCATTTCATTCAACCCTCCTATTGAGTATCATGCAAGAACATGAGGAGCTAGTGCTACTTTAATTAGCTGCACCAATTGCATGTGTGCTTGTACCACTTGAGCAGGCAGTCACAAAAGCTGAAGTCCATGTGCGATCGTTCTGTTCCAAAGCGGAAAGCACCAAATCTAGGGAAAAGCCTTATAT